AAAAGACCTACTTCCCACTTTTAAGCCACCTGCCTAGTTGCAGACAGAAATGCTTTAAGCCTCCCTAGACTCTTCCCTGTTCTAGCAGTTGCTTGCATCCTATTTTTGAACTACTGGCAAATTCAAGTGGCATGAAAATCAATGTTTTACATTGAAGGGAAAAGGGCAGGATCACCAGATACCAATATATTCCTTCCTGGATTAGACAGTTCTTCAAAGTACACTTAATAAATTCCAACAGGCCCAGATGAGTTGGATACAGGCATTTGCTGGAACAAAGAGCAAAACCTTTTTGCTTGTTAAACATCGTTGGCCAATCAGGGACTTTCCACTTGTTACGGCAAGAAAGAATTCAAGAGAAAATGTAGTCAACAACTCTCAGTTTTGAATTTTATCCCAGAGCTTCAGACCATAAGGAGTCCCTCAGCCCAGGAGTCCAATTGCCCAGAAGTAAAAACAGACTCTCAGATCAATAGCTGGAACCCTTTCCAGGACACTGAGGTATTCACCCCCAAGGGCTCTAAAGCTCCACTTCAACAAACAGCATGAAGCTGTGTAAAAAGTTTCAGCTCTACAATCAGATGAATTGGTTTTTACCACTTCACGGGACACCAAGTTCTGTACAGTTAAGGTATGTTTGGGACAGAATATAGTTTATTAAGTGGTAAAAAGGTGACTTTAAACTGCTTTTCCAGCAGATGTCAAAGTCCTACCAAGATACCAAGATCAAAGCTTCTTCACATTTAAGGAAATTATTTTTTTCTCCTCATTTTGCCAGCTGATATGTACTGCTTCTTATCCTTAACCACACTCAAAGGCAATGCTCTCAAGTCTAGCATGTTTCTAAGCTCAGCCCAAATTCGAGTCTCACTAAAAAGATAAAGTATTGCTGCATATCTGCCTCTTTGCCAAGTTTCCAAATCCAAAAAGGATATTTTGGTAATGGAAAAGGCAGTGTTTACCTTCCATTTTAGTGGTGTGTGAGTTAAAATAATATTGGAAGTCACAAAGAACTACATAACCTAAAAACGAGAGAAATAGAACTCTTAAGAGAGATGACTTTTTTTTTCTTTTTTGACATGGCATTTCGCTCTCTTCGCCCAGGCTGGAGTGCAATGGCGCGATCTTGGCTCACTGCTACCTCTGCCTCCAGGGTTCAAGCGATTCTCCTGCCTCAGCCTCCCGAGTAGCTGGGATTACAGGTGCAAGCCACCGCATCCGGCCGAGAGATGACTCTTGACTAAACGGTTTGCAGTAACATAAAGGAGTTTCAGAGACTTAAGGCTGATGAAACCTGAACCAAGTTTAATATACTTCTTCTCCAGTTCAGCCATGCTACTTTTCTAGGTTAAAAGAAAGTTGCAGAACTTTTGTAAATGAACAGGCAAGCTGGTGGTGATAAGAGCTCTGATTCAGGTTAAAACAAACAATCAACCAACAAAATAACCACTGGACATTTCTAGAGCTGTTAAGAACTCTTTAAAAATTTATCTGGCCAGGCGCAGTGGCTCACGCCTGTTTTAATCCCAGCACTCTGGGAGGCTGAGGAAGGTGGATCACGAGATCAGGAGTTCAAGATCAGCCTGGCCAATATGGTGAAACCCTGTCTCCACTAAAAATACAAAAAATAAGCAGGGCATGGTGGTGGGTGCCTGTAGTCCCAGCTACTCGGGAGGCTGAGGCAGGAGAATCACTTGAACCCCAGGAGGCGGAGGTTGCAGTGAGCGATCACACCACTGCACTGCAGCCTGGGCGACAGTGCGAGATTCCGTCTCAAAAAAAAAAAATTATCCGTATAATAGAGAGGCCTGGTGCTTAGTATCATCAGCAGAACCACCGAACTTTATGTGCCTCCTGATGTGATGTCACAGAAACTGTACATTACCAGATTAGTGTTGTTGCCAAAAATGCTTACCTGAATAAAATTGTGAGGAAACAATTAGAAAATTCCACAATAAGGAACATTCTACAGGGCAATTACCTTGGATTCTTCTAAAAAGCCAAAGACATGAAAAGACAATTCTAGATTGAAAAATTAAGCAGCCAAATGCAATGTATAAATATTAAATGGAGCTGGGTCTGGTGGCTGAGGCCTGTAATCCCAGCACTTTGGGAGGCCAAGGCGGGCCACTTGAGCCCAGGAGTTCGAGACCAGTCTGGGCAATATGGTGAAACTCCGTCTCTACAAAAAAATACAAAAATTAGCCCCACGTGGTGGCAAGTGCCTGTAGTCCCAGCTGCCTGGGAGACTGAGGTGGGAGGATCACCTGAGCCAGGGAGGTGGAGGCTGCAGCAAGCCGAGATCAAGTCACTGCATTCCAGCCTGGGTGACAGGGTGATACCCTGTCTAAAATAAGTGAGAGGATTCTGGATGAAAAAACACATGGTTTTTGTATGTCTTTTATTACATGCCACATAAAGGACATCTGTGTGGCAGTAGGGAAAATTGGAATATGAACTATTTATTAGATGTTATTGCATTATTGAGAATTTTCTTAGGTGTATAATGGCATTAGTGGATATGTAGAGGAATGGCATCCTCAGATGTCTGCTAAAGTATTTGGAGATAAAGGTTGATAATAATAAACTTCTGTAGTGTTTGTACTTTCAAATGGTTAGTGAAAGTACATGTGTGTATATGTAAGTATATTTATATACAGACACATATATAAAGAGAGTAAATATGGCAAAATGTCAAGTTTGGTAAATCTAGATGATGGGTATACTGGGGTTCATTCCACTATTTTCTTCATGCTTCTGCAGATTTTTTTCTTTTCTAAAGTTAGGAGAAGAAAGTATTTTGGTTTTCATGACATGCATGTTATCTTCATTAGCTCTTCAACTTTTAAATTTCTATGCACTTCAGGTTTATGACTTGGAGAAGTAGAAAAGACAACAACCCTTAGTAGGTGAGCCTTATATTTTAATTCATGGAATTATAAATTAGTCGTGAGGCTACAAAGATCCAACATTTTCAAAACCTGATGATTTTGTATGTTAGAGTGACTCCAAATTGATGCGAGTCTGGAGTCAGGGAGTTGCCCAGTTCCAGTATAGTGCCATTGACGCTTAAGTAGCCTCACCAAACCATGCCATTATAGAGCAGTTTTTAAATAACTATCAAATTATACAGTGACAGCATCATTTTATTTCATACACAATCTCCTTCACCTGCAGGCCAACTGCTTTAGAATGTACCCTTCCATCAGAACCCCTATTTTCTTATAGCATGTCGGCAAGTCTGTGTTCCTAATCAACTGTGAAATTTCACAAAGGTGGATACTCTGTTCTCATCTCAGAATGCAGCATAGCATTATGGCATGAAACAGTAACTCAATAAATACTAACTGAATAAAGAAATGGGTAAAATAAAGATTAAAGTGAGGATTTTTCAAGAAAAACTGTATCTTTTAAAAAATTGTATGCAATAATGTGGATTCTCTAAAATGACTAGTAGGAGAGAGAGGAGGGACCAACTCATAAGGAAGCTTTAAAATGTCATTGTTTGTCACATGGGCCTTTGTGAGAGGGTTGGGAGAAGTCTTTGGAATAGAAAATAAATAGAAAAGGAATGTTTTTGGAGTATAAATGATCATTACCTTGTTTCAGGAGCCACAGTTCAACCAGAGGCCAGAGGCCTGATTGAGTTGTTTGTCTTAAACTTAATATATTTGTTATATAGTTCTGTTAATGAATAGAATTCTGTAAACCAATAATTACATTTTATGTCTTAATTGAGCACTTAAAAATTCAAGATACATGAATTATTTTTCTGAGCTATTTATCAAGCCTATTTAAACTTACGAGTTTAAAAAATGAAGCAAACTCTTTCCCTGAGATAAGCTTTTTACTTCTTTTGCAAGGTAGCTATTTCAGTAATATTTGCGATGGCACTATAATGAAATCTATCAGGAATTAGAAGGATGAGTACTTTAACTAAAAAATGAGCATGTTTGAGAATTTCTGATAACACTAATGGGTTAGTGTTTCAAATGAAAATAATTAAGTCAACAAAAAGAAATTCTTGGATCAGTCTTGAGGACTTAGTAATACTGATAAAGAAATATCACTTGAAAGGAGCTTTTTGTCTTTAAATGAAGATAAATTAAAAGGGTAACTAGGATTTGCTACCTGCAGTACTGATACCTACTAGCACAGAATCCAAGCTAGAGTATAAAAGAAAACTCCCTTTCTAAGTCATTGGGCAATTTTTAAGAACTCATTTTTTGGGGGGAGCAAGAAAAGTAGTCAGACAAATCAGTCCAAGGTGAGGTATCTTTGGAAAATTTAATTTGGACCATATTTTCCTCCTCTTTCTGAAAACATCAAATATCCCCATACATTTTGGGTTCCACAGCTTACAAAGGGGCAGTGGGTTTCCCGCAGTTACATACTGTACCCAACTTTCTATAGAAAGATAAAACATTTTCCAACCTTGCTTTTGAGTATTTCCTAAAAAATGCTTTAAAGTTTCCTTACAATCAATGGCAAGTAAAACAAAGTAAGGCTTTTTTTTTTTTCTCCTTTTCCCCTTTTTATGTACTGCATGTTGGAGGAATAAGGAAGGAAGACTAGTTCCATCAGAATACTATAATCCTAGTACCCTGGGGATTACTGCTGGATCCTCCCAGGTATACCCCTATTATTGAGGCTCTGATGCACCCCTGCACTGAGGAACCTGAGAAGGGTAAGTACTGAACAGTCTGTCATAGCCACGTGGGACTGTCACAGCACAGGTGGGACTGGGAGTCGCCCAGTTCTTCTTGGTGCTCACAGGAGTAACAAAGGAACTAGGACCAAACCATAACTAGAGGTCTCCCATGTGGTACTGCAGTCTCACACGTTCACTTTTACAGGCCTTACAAATGTACATTTGTAGACTCAACGTATTTACTGGGAAAAAAAAAAGAAAAAAGAAAAAAATGCCTTTACTAATTTCTGTATCAAATTATTAGAATGAAAATAAAAGCATTTGTCTGATGAAACACACTTTCTATGTTAGATGAAAATAACTCCCTTGCAAGATAAGCTTGGTAATGTGTATTTGTCACTATTATACATTTTTGCTTAGTACACACATTTCTTTAATAGCATCATCTGAACAGCTTTGTCAGTTTTCAAACCTGTAGTTTCATTAGCTTAAAAAAAGGATAAGGCAGCCAAATTTAATGAATTTTGGTTGCAGAAAAACATCTCCGGCATTAACTCTTATCTTCAAATGTTAAGAGCACATAATTAAAAGATAAAGTTTCTTCTCTTAACAGGAAACTAAGCAGCTATTGTCATCAAATGTACTTTTACATGTACTTTTTAGTAAAGGGCCCCCTCATAAATATAAAATTAAATTCTTTTGAGGAATAGGTTTGTGATTTTAGTTATGCAGGATTTACATTTATCCTTTACATTTTGTAGTAAAAAAAAATGTGTGGTCTTTGCTTATTTTCATGAAGTGATTTCTTCATCTCAGCAGGCTCTCACATACAAACGGCAGGCTAGGTTACTCAGCTTGTTTCTGAAAGGCGAGGCAGCCACATGTCATGTGCTCTTAGAATCCTTGCAAAAATTCCTGTAGCTGGGTGACGATCTCCGTGTCCACTGTTTCCATGAGGGACTGGAAACCTTGTTCTCCTAGCATCTCCTGCTGTGCCTTGAGCTTCTCGTAGATGAACTGCTGCAGTGACACCATATGAACAGGGTCCTTCAGGGCCAGCTGTGGGATACAGAGAGGAGCAAGACTGTGTCAAAAAAGCAAAACAAGTCTCTCCTACCTGCAATTTACAAGTTCTTTGTAATCTCTTCCACAGTAACAAAATTGCTTCTGCCTCTCTTCTTACACAGATTCTGTAATAGTCTCACAGTGGAAAAATCTGTCAAAGAAAATTTCATTCAATTAGTCTAACTTCAGTTCCCTAGGGCCCCCTGAACATGTTTTCTGATTAGCCATTTCTGAAGAGCTGGGGGACTCACTCATTTAAAGCATCAAAGCCTAGTAGAAAGCATTCTAAAAGAAACAGAACATGCTGAAGAACATTAAATACAATTGTCTAGCATTCTCCTTAGGAAGATAGGGTAGGCCACTGTGGCAACCCAGTGATGCCCTCAGGATCCAGAGAGGAGACAGGGTTTGCCCTACCCTGGATTGTAATACTATTTAAATTCCTGTATATGTTTCTGGCTGAAAAAAAAAAAGGGACTTCTTGTCTCCCACTGGGATATTTGGAAAACAAAAGAAGTATAATTTCATGAAAAATAACCCATAAGTCTACTCCCTAAAGATAACAATGACAAAGGAAAATATTTCGGCTTCTTCTATCCCTGTGGCATGCACATACATACATATACATAAAACACACCTGGACCCAGGCTAAGTGCAATGTGTGATATACCGGATTGAATCCTGGAACTAAGAGTGTTACCAGAAAAACTGGTAAAATCTAAATAAAAGTCTGGAGTTTAGTTAATAATAATGCACCGATGTTGGTTTCTTAGTTTCGATAAATGTACCATGTATATTTGAAAAATGCAGGGCTGGGCCCGGTGGCTCATGCCTGTCATCCCAGCACTTTAGGAGGCTGAGGTGGGCAGATCATAAGGTCAGGAGTTTGAGAACAGCCTGCCAATATGGTGAAACCCCGTCTCTACCAAAAATACAAAAATTAGCCTGGCGTGGTGGTGCATGCCTGTAGTCCCAGCTACCTGGGAGGCTGAAGCAGAAGAATCGCCTAAATCCGGGATGTGGAGGTTGCAGTGAGCTGAGATCGCGCCATTGCACTCCAGCCTGGGCGACAGAGCAAGATTCCGTCTCAAAAAAAAAAAAAAAAGAAGAAGAAGAAAAATATAACATACAATGTTAACATTAGGAGAAACTGGGTGAGAGGCACATGAGAACCCTTTGTACTATTTTTGTTACTTTTCTGTAAACCTAAAATTATTCCAAATTAAGAAGATTATTCTAAAAAATGGACTCAGCAATTAGAAAAGCATACACCTCTGTGGCCATTTGGTATAAGGACAAACCGCTCTACAACTGACATCTCATCTTATGTCTTAGCTTATACAAGTGTCTAATCATACAATTTCTAAACAGCTAGGCCTGTGTTCAATTTTGAGATAAAAGCTGACGTCTCCAAGCTCTGAATGACATTCAAGGTTAGTTATTCTCAAGTTAATGACTTCATCAGAACTAGAATACAGATTGGAAAATTCCTGGTTTTGTTCTCTTTCCATTACTTCCACATGCTCTTGCCTTCTAAGAAAGTATGTGATCATTCAAGAAATATTTCCATTGAAATGGGTAAGATAAAATTAGGAATCTTCAGAGGCTTCAGTTATTAGCAAGAGATAATTACCCAGAATTCCTGACTCTGGGGTAACACCAGATAAATGAAGTGTTAATAGCCAGATTCACTTCAAAAGTCCACACATCGGATTTTAATGAGCAAGTGGCTCAGTATTGCTTAATTTTAAAATTATTACTCTAAGACAGAATGGTTCTAGTTGAAGTACGTATCAGTTCCCTCTGTTGGTAATGATAGCCTTTTGACATATGCTTCAACCTATGAAGTAGTATTCTAAAGTGGTTCAAGATTTTAGTTTCTGTGGGGCTACTTACAAATTTCTTGTTCTTTGAGATTTCTATCCCTTGAAACAAAGTTTTCCATTATATTTCACTATATTAATAAGATATTTCACCCAGCAAGAATTTAGTGAAGCAAAATCTTTCATTTTCCTTATGTGGCATGTCATTATTCACTTTTTAAGCCTATATGTCCAATTATAATTTTTCAAAAACTACTTACCGTAAAGTTATTTTGTCAGAGGCCTTTGAACCAGTGCAACTCCATCTTTTTTTTTTTTTTTTTTTTTTTGAGATAGAGTCTCTCTCTCTCTCTCTGTTGCCCAGGCTGGAGTGCAGTGGCACAATCTCAGCTCACCTCAAGCTCTGCCTCCCGGGTTCACGCCATTCTCCTGCCTCAGGAGTAGCTGGGACTACAGGTGCCCACCACCATAGATGACTAATTTGTTTTTATTTTTATTAGAGATGGGGTTTCACCGTGTTAGCCAGGATGGTGTCGATCTCCTGACCTCATGATCCGCCCACCTCGGCCTCCCAAAGTGCTGGGATTACAGGCGTGAGCCACAGCACCTGGCCTGCAACTCCATCTTGAATAGGGGCTGGAGAAAATAAGGCGGAGACCTACTGGGCTGCATTCCCAGGATGTTTGACATTCTAAGCCACAGGATGAGATAGGAGTTCAGCACAAGATATGAGACATAAAGACCTAGCTGATAAGACAGGTTGTGGTAAAGAAGCTGACTAAAACCTCCCAAAACCAAGATGGCCACAAAAGTGACCTGTGGTCATCTTCACTCCTCATTACATGCTAATTATAATGCATTAGCATGCTAAAAGACAATCCCACCAGCACCATGACGGTTTACAAATGCCATGGCAATGTCCAGAAGTTACCCTATATAGTCTAAAAAGGGGAGGTACTGG